CGGGCCTGGGGGGGTGGGGTTACTCCCCCCCCGACAAAAAAAAAAAAAAAAAAAATACACACACACACACACCCCCACCACCACCCACCTCCTGCTCTTTTTATTTCAGGTTTCACATCTTAGCTCTGAAAGTTTGCAGGTACCTGTTAATGCTTTGCACGCCCTGAGCCTGCAGAGCCAGCCCGGCCGGGCACTGCTGGAGCCCCAGCCCCGGGCAGGGCTCCCCGGCGAAGGGTGTGTTTCCCCAAACAGAAAGTTTGCTGTTTGGTCTGCTTAGTTAGTTTCATTTCTTTATTTTATTTTGTAAAGCTGGGTGAAGTAACACCTTAGCTTCTGGGATCCTACAGCAAGAAGTGAAAGTACCGACTGGAACTTAAAAGTCGTTTACCAAAAAAGCAAAATATATATATATATATTTTAAAAAGCTTGCCGGTCCTCTGGGAAGAAAAGCGTTCTCGAGATCTGCAGGTTTAAAATTATTGACAACTTTTTGCGGGAGGCTGAAGAGCAGGGAAGGTAGTGAAACGCATTTAAAAGAATTCACCATTGGTCGTTTTGCATTAAAACGCCAATTGCCGAGGCAGGCTGAGGGTCCGGGCTTGCCCCGGTTCCTATCCTCCCCTCTCCGCTACATCTCCTGGTAGATCTGCCACGGTGATGCCACCATTGCCCACTCCAGGATCGGGAATAACTGGCAAATACTGAAGTTTCTAGCACATTTCTCAGCCTCTTCCTTCCTCAGCCACATACACCCACATCCACAGAGCCACCAATTCCCCCTGTCCAGGCGGAATCCCAAGCAGGAGGGTGTGAGTAAACACGCTGACCCCGCACACGCTCTCTCAATATTCCCATCCTCTTACCTGCTCGGAGACTGGGTTTTTTTTTTTAGCCAAGTAGGTTTGGTAACCGCAAACGTCTGAAAAGAGAGTTCAGGCAGAATAAAAAGACCCAGCAGCAACACACTTCACTGCTCAGTCCTGGTGTGAAGCTCCAGCAAAGTAAAAAGACAGAAGAGAGGGTAAAAAAAAAAAAAAAGGGAGGGGGGGGAAGGAAAAAATCCCACTTTACTGAAAAAAAAATAAAAAAAATTGTTGAGGCAGGTAATAATTTTTTAGGTTTTGTGTAAAACTCCCAGTGCAGGAGAAGACAATAGATGCGAAGGCGAGGGGGGATCCTGCTCAGGAGAGCAAGGGTTAATTGCCCTTGTTTTACAGTTTGCATCTGTTACATCTTTTATAGCCCCCTGTTTAAACTAATCCTCAAGTCAAAGCATCTTTAAAGCTACAGCATCTTCTTCGAGATGGACTGAGTTTCAGGAGCGTTCCTGCAGCAAACCAAATGCTCCTGCCCTCTCCCTTTGACAGATAGAGCCTCCTGCACAGCCCGAGCACGCAGGCACACACAGTAGGTCCAAAAGTTTACAAATTTTTTTTAAAAAAAAAAAAAAAAAAAAGCAAAACCAAAAACCCAACTGAAAGCCTGAAAACTCTGACAGCGGTAGTTTTGATTTCTGTTTCTTTTCTGGGAAAAAAAAAAAAAAAACCAACAAAAAACACACCAAAAAAGACGCTCTGAAGCTTTGTTTAACTAAGGGGCAGGGGAAACCCTGAATATTGTCAAACTGACTAAAAAGGTGACAGAGGTTTATAATTACACTCCTCGTTGTTAGGGGGAGGGGGAGGTCTCCGTGCTGTGCTTTACCCCAAAAGGACAGGGGAGAGCCATGTTTCCCTCTCCTCTTATCACTTTGCTGGAGTGCACTTGGGGGGGGGGGGGGGGAAAAAAGGGGGGGGGAGGCGGGGGGGCTAGCGTTTCATGTGAAAAGAAGTTCTAATGTCAAATTAAAGTACTTTTAGGAGGAAATGGTCCGCCTAGCATTGAGTCAAACAGCCTACTGTAAAAGCTGTGCATTCCCTCATACGGTCATGAGTTATGACTCATTTGAGATGTAATTCTTGTCTCTCTCTGATCTGCTTTGCTGGTGCAATACACACACACACGCACACACACAGGGGGAGAGAGAGAGAGAGAGACACACACACACGCTCACGCAGAGAGGGAGAGACACACACACACACACACACACAGACAGACAGACCAAAAATAAATAAATAAATAAATAAAGAAGAAATCTGCCCGGCTGGGGAGAGAGGGGGGAGCCCGCTCCGTCTGCGTCCCACCTCCCCCGGCACGGCAAACCTCGCCGTGTGCGTGGATGGGTTCTTTTTCGGGTGCAAATTCGGGTCCCCGTTGGCGCCCTGCATTTAAATGGGATATACCAATGCCCACATTGTTGCTGTGTTTGGTTGTTACATAGAGTCTGCGTGCTGCTGAATCAGGGAGTCGAGTCCATGAGAACTGCCATCTGATCCACTCTTATCAATGAAGCAGCAGATCATGGCGGATGGCCCCAGGTGTAAGAGGCGAAAACAAGCCAACCCCCGGAGGAAAAACGGTAAGCCGCCCCCCCAGGCAAACTTTTCCGGCCGGCTC